AGTTTGATTTAGAGTTTAGGATTTGGATTAGGATTTGGTTAGGGTTTGATTTAGGGTTTGGAGTTTGGTTAGGATTTGATTAAGGATTTGGATTAGAATTTGGTTAGGATTTGATTTAAGATTTGGATTAAGATTTAGATTAGGATTTAGGGTTTGATTAGGGTTTAGGATTTGGATTAGGATTTAGGATTTGGTTAGGATTTAGGGTTGGATTAGGATTTAGGGTTTGGTTAGGATTTAGGGTTGGATTAGGATTTAGATTAAGATTTAGGGTTTGGTTAGGGTTTGATTTAGGATTTGGATTAGGGTTTGGATTAGGGTTTAGGATTTGATTTAGGGTTTAGATTAGGATTTGATTTAAGGTTTGGTTTAGGATTTAGGATTTGAAATAGGGTTTGATTTAGGATTTAATTTAAGGTTTATTTAGGATTTGACTTAAGGTTTAGGATTTATTAGAGTTTAAGATTTAATTAGGTTTGGTCTAAAGTTTGAGTGAAATTCAATAGGGTTTTAACTAGAATTAAATTAAGGTTGAATCAACATATATTTGAGTAATATTTGTGATCATTCTAATATTTCTTTAAGAATTTTATTGTTTGTTTGAAATTTCTTTGAATTGTTTTGAATTTGATTACGTTTGTTTACCATTATTATAGTCTAATTAGAGCATTGTTAGTATTCTATTAGAATTAGGATTTTGTTATCGCAATTTCTATTCTTCTTTCTATAGCTAGGTGCGCGGAGCATTCTCAAGCAAGACTTCACACATTACAACAGCGCATACTTCAAGAGAGACATGACATTCTAATATCTGGACATCTACGGCAAGAAAAGACTTTAGAACAAATCTCAAGGATATAGATTTGGACATATTTGAATCATGATGTTTAAATTTTCGTGCGCTTTTATGAGTCATATCAATATAATAAAGCACTCAATCTAGTGTCTCTTAGATTATTGTAGCTAATTCCAATATGTATGCTACGTTAGAAGTAGGTGATTATAAAACTCATTATGATTTATTCTAGATATCTCATAATCATACCACAATTGTCATCTTTGTAGATTGATTCTCGAAGCAATTTTACTTGATTGTGGTATGCTTAGATACTAATGCCTCAACATTTGCATTGGTCTTCTTTGATACTATCTTTTGTTACCATGGATTATCTTGTATCATTGTTTTAGATGGAGATCTATGCTTTACAAAAAGTTTTTGGCAAGCTTTATTTAAGCTATTAGGCATATACCTTATTATATCTATAATCTTTTATTTTTAAATAGATAGACAAACATAGTGTAAAAATTGGACCTTAGAAAATATGTTGCGGGTATTTGTGATAGTTTATCATAATAACTAGGATGAATACTTTATGCCCTTGGAGTTTGCTTACAATGATAGTATTTAAATAAGTACCGATCATTCACCATTTTTTTTTAATATTCATCAACATCCAATTATACCAATAATTTTCTATTGTCTCATTGTCACTAACAATCTAACAATAAAGGAGTTTATATAATAGCTTACAATGTCCTTATAAGAGACATGACACCATCTTTTTATCGCACAAAATTTACAGAAGTAGTATATAAATAGCCATCAATAATACAAGATCTTTTGAGAGGATAAACAAGTATTACTCTCCAATGTCAACTTGCCACTTGCTACATCAATTTAAAACCATAAACTGACACCTTAGTAGCTTGTATCTTTTTATATTTTTGCAATGATTTTTGATATAACATACTACCTCAAGCTTTCACTATATATTTAAGTCTATCCAATCTTCTATATTTTGTAACTGAAAGAATTTTATACTAAGCCAAATCGCTTTCCAGATTGACACCAACCACCACCACTGCCAATTGTAGTTGATGACTAACAAGAATATGAAGTAGACAATATTTTAGAGTATTGCTACTTTTACCATGGCAATGGACGTCCACAACTTCAGTAGAAAGTTCTTTGGAAAGGTTATCCCATCTATGATGCAATGTGAGAACTTGCACAAAATCTCATCCATTGCCAAAAAACAATTTGGAAATACCATCAAGAGCAAAACGAGGATATCCTATAATTTGTATTGTTGATACATAGAGATAGGTAGTTGGAACCATGATTGAGAAGTTATGAAAGTTTTTAGAATTAGGGCTAGGTTAGTGGACCATATAAACCTATCATGGAACATTTTAGAAAAATCTTAGGGTGGTTATCTAGGTAGAGACTACCATGGAACCTTCTAAAAAAGGCTTTAAGATAATTATTTAGGTGGAGTCTGTGATGGAACCTTCTAACAGGAGTTTATGGTACTTATTTAAATAGAGTCCATTATTTAGGAATATTCTAAAAATTCTAAGGTGGTAGAATAAAGTATAAATAGGACTGACTAGAGCCTTTTGGGTAATAGATCAAGTATGGCTTTTGCCCTTCTCTCTTAATAAAGTTTGATTTTGCATCTTTTTATTTAGTTTTATTTTGTTCTGTTTTTATTTGCTCAATTTTGTCTTTTGTATCTTATTTTATTTCCGTCCATTTTTTCCTACGTTGTGATAAGGTTTTATGTTGTTGTAGATTAGAAGAGTCTTAGATTGCCAAGATAGACTGGTCTTAAGGACATGAATCTCAAAAAAAGAGAATCCTCGATACATTCTTGTGTCACTAAAGAAAACTAGAAAGTCACTCAAAAGGTAATATAATATTAACTAGAATGGCTATTGCCAAAAACAAGAAAACTATAAAGTTTTAAAACAAGACTAAAGACTAGAATGGCATTGACAAAAGTGAAGAAGACTTCATTCTTGCCTCCTTATATACTTATAACTAAAAGCTACATGGCGATGTCCTATAGGACCTCTAAAATATGTTGACTTTACTAACGACATGTCTTAACTTACAAGGCAAGTTATCTATATATGTGCCACATAGTTAACTTGTTCCATAAGCTACTACAGTGAAATAATTTGTTCCACAAGCTACCAACATATGATTAGCTTATTGGCAGAGTTTCTAACCTACAAACATATCTAAAGTCAAAACCGTATCTATGAAGCTTCTGGAAAGTATTTTAGAAGACTTTATGAAATTAATCTATATTTATCTACTTCTATCTAATCATATAAATAATTATTGAAATAAATGTATATGCCTATGATAATTGAACTTGCTTCAAGAAGACTAAAGAGTCTTGGAATAAAACTAAGATAAAGATTGATATTAATAAGAGTGATGAAGGCTTCACTCTTACTTTCATATATTCTATCTAATTAGAAGCTACATAGTAATGTTCTATAAGACCTTTAATACATGTCCAATTTGTTGGATATTTTTCTAATTTGCAAGATAAGTTTCTTACATCTGTGTCACATGGCTAACTTATATTAGAAGTCACCAACATATGCAACATGTAGTCAATTTGTTGATTAAGTTTTCAACAAACACATATGAAGTCAAATATATATCTATAATTTTTTTAAAAATCTTCTCTATAAGATATTAATAAATCTATTTAATTCTATTTACTTCTATATAATTCTTATATTTTAGATAAGTATGTATAATTATGATTATGCATGTTAGATGATATATATAATATTGCTATATAGTTCTTTAATTAAATAGTATATATGAAATAAGAATAAATCTTCCTCATTTTACTCAATGTCTTTTTTTTTTATTCTTGTCTTTTCTTGAGAATCTTTAATCTCTTTGTATTTTACAATAGCCATTTTAATTTCTAATTTATATCCATCTTTGATTTGTCTACTTTTTTTTAAATGTCATAAGAGTGTATTACTTTCTAAGATTTTTTTATGATTCATGTCCTTAATATTTATATATATATATATATATATATATATATATATATATATATAGATATATTCCATTGATTATAATTTTTCATAAACTTTTTATACAAAATTTAATATGTATATTAAAAAGAATTAGAAATATAAATATAAAATTTAGCCATATCTTTATTTATAATTTCATTATGATAAAATAATAAAAATTTGATATTAATAAATATAATATTTTATAATTTAATGTTTAATATATAATTTTTAAAAAACTATATCAATATTATTAACATATTAATATTTTTAATTTTTTTGTTTGTTTGTTTGTTTGATTTTGATTTTTTTGATTTTTTTGATTTTTTTATCAATAATGATATTTTTATTTTTAGAATAACAAAAATTTAATTAAAGTATCATATCATTTTTATTTTTATTTGTAATATTTTGAAAAATTTATTACTTAATAAAATTTAAAGAATGATATTATAGATCTAATTTTGAATATTCTATTTATTATATGCATGACCAAAATATTTATATATATATACATATATCTAGCTATTATTGCCATAATATGCCACTTACTACAACTTGCCATCTACTACATATTATCACAAGTTTTTTTAATACCATTACAAGCTATTCTAAACTTATGTTTGCACACTACAACACAGTTTTTGGAAATATTGCTAATATACATCATAATAGATGAAGTGCATATTCATATAGATGCATATTATAGTATTCCATAAAATGTATTGTGATTTATAATAAAATTTTAGGACAAATTGTGGTGGCATTAGCAAAAACTATAATAACATGTGATGGATGGTATATTATAGTGGTTGCTTTAGTAAAGATAGAGTAGGTTGCTTTAGTAAAGATAGAGTAGGTTGCTTTAGTAAAAATTTGAGTCACTTTATCATTCCCTTATATATATATATATACACATATATACATATATATACACATTATATATATATATATATATATATATATATATATTAGAATGATATTCAATTTTTGTGTAAAGAAGTTAACATTTGTACTCCAAGTTTTAAATTTTAATGGAGCAAATGGATAATACACTTCATCCACGAGAACCGAACAGAGTCCGGACGCACACCACATTCATTCATCTTCCCATTCATTCCTCGCGACACCTGGTCCGTCGCGCACCGTGTGCCGCGATCTGTTGTGCACGCGATGTTGCTTGCGGGGCACGATCTGACGCATTGCGAAGTCGCCAAGTGCCGAAACCATGAAGAGGAGATCATTAGCAGTGTGATACGTTGTGTGGGTTGTTTGTTTCTGTGGGTGAAGGTCAGAATTAGGGTTCCAAAGCGGAGGGATGAAGATGGCGGGGAGTGTGAGAGGGTGGGTCTCTTGCTGGGTCGCGCACCGGCGCTCGCTCACGCCGGCCAGTCTGAGCGTGATCAGGCAGTGCTCGCACTCCGTCAAACCGTGGTTCGACGGGAGCGTCACGGATTCTTCCTCAGACGCTGCGGGAGAGCAGGTTGGGAGTAGCACTGTTAACAGGCTGGAGCAGGTTTTGCATGAGTTTCGAATTCAGAAGGCTACGCCAGATTGGCTTCCGTTCATGCCTGAGCGGTCGTTCTGGATGCCTCCGGAGGTGCCCGTGCATGAAGAAGCCCCTCCTTCTGCTATTCTCGAGCCTGCCACTGAGGGAGAGCTTTTCTCCATGATTATGCCCAGTGGGTACCCTGCTCCGGCCCCTGTTGGAGGTGAGACTCCTACTGCACTGCTTCTGGTTTACTTTTGTTGTGATTTCGTTAATGGGGATGTAATGTGCTTCTTCTGCGCGTTAGGTTTTCCTATTTGTGACCAATATTACGAGTTTCCGGTTACATATTGGGTAATTTATGCTTCCGATTTTTGAGGTTTGGTTTTGTATTGTTATCTCTTCTGGTTGTTAATGTTTTTGAATCATTTGCTGTGGACTTGTTCTTTACAAATTGAAAAATACTTGCTGTTCTACTGCCTTATCTCTTACTAGGCCTCATGTGGCGAACGGCAGATTGTTGGCTCAACTTATTAGATTCTTATCGCTAATGTTCTTTTGCATTATGTCTGTACTAGCTTTAAATCCTTATGACGATGGTTGTCCTTCCATATATCATTACATCATGCATACTGAACTTCGACCTAATCTCACTTAATGTTTTTCGAAATATCCGTTTCAATGTTCAGGAATATGGGAGATTTGTGTTTCAATGGTCATGGTCCCGACTTGGCTTTGGCTTCCTCTCTGACTTTGTAGTGTTTTGTGGGCTTTATAATTTGACTAACGATGCGGCTTGGTTTTTGGTGCAGGTCCATTGTGAAGTCTCTTCCAGCTTTCTCCTGATAAAAATTTGTTCAATGGCTTAATGTACAGTTTCTCCTTTTTCGGATCTGTTCGTATAAGGCCTTGTCCTTAATTGTAAGGAGTCTCAATCGCTCCTGTTGCCGCGTCATGACGTAGGGTAGACAAACGGTCTGTCGTGAAGACACGTTTCAAGGTGGTGTAAAGTAGACCATCATAGCTTCTTACTGTCAACAATCTTGCTCAAAATTGTGGTGCCTGAAGCTGGCATCGTTCATTGCATCCTGTACTTACTCTGTATAAATTCTGAAATTGGTCAATAAAGCCACTTTTATTTTCTGGCCTCCCATCGTGAAATAGAATGGAATAGCATGTTGAGTTCGGTATGCTTCCGCCGTCATGTATTTCATGTTTCACGGTGCATCCCAAGGTTATTTTCCCAGGCTTGATTGTAGGGCATTTTACTATTTGTCTACTGAAATCTTGTAGCAAGTTTCACTGTTGACAGTCGCAAAATAATTCGAATTCGTTGATGTCAGGATTATTTCCTTTTGCTTATGTCAATCTAATTAGATGAAGACGCAACTTTTCTGTACTTCACGAGAAAACGTTTTTCTAAGCGAAGTTTCTTTGAACCCTGGGTATAGCAGTTGACTGGCACTAAGTGCTAGAATGTCGTGTATATGCAACTCAGATGTCTCCCCGCTTCTGAGGATTGTGTGCCGTCGTAACTACCCTTCAATGTTGGAGTAGCTGCCTTCCCACCGATTGGCACAGTCGTTTGAAATTGTACACGGGGCTTCACCTACGATCTAACGCTGAAGACCTGCCATACCCTCCCGTCAGCTCCTTGTAGCATGCTTTGGGTTCGTGTTGAGATGGAGAGCTGTTCTTTGAAAATACTGATGAGATGCAGATATTCTTTGCATTAGAAACAGAAACTCGGGGGCCCCTTGTCGCATTAAGCTAAGAACTCACAGTTTTTTCAATTCTCATCACATTTGACCTACTGGAATTCTGTAAGAATGTTATGGACCATCAATTCTCAAACAAGCTGAGAATACTAAGCATGTAGGTGAAGCTGGTCCTTGGTGTGGTATGTGTTGTAAATTGGATGGCATTTACTGCAAGCACTGGAAACAAGCCATGCATGCTTTGTGTGCATTCAAAAAACAGTTTTAGTAAACGTCTACTAAGCTCTCGTGCATGCAGCCAACTGGATGGATTTTAAGTTTATTAAATAAAAATATTTTAATTTTTTTTGTGCAGTTCATTACGAGGCTACAAAATGAATTCTCTTCCAGTACTCTTACGAATGCTTGTTATTTATATTTCCAAAAAAAATAATTATTTAATTACTGGAGTTGTATATCTAATAACAAAATACATGTATTTTTGTGATGAGAATATTCCATATCTATATAAAGACGAATATTGCAAATTCCTGTAATTCTAACCATTTGAATATGTATGATCAATTATAAGAAATGCATGGTAGCTTACAAATTCATATTGGATGCTTAATTATTCTACAAACATATTTAAATTTAATCATCAAGTGCTGTGAATGCTGCATAAGGTTTTGATATGATAATGTATTTCTTTATTTTACAATTTTTGCCATATTATTACAACTAAACTAAAAGTTTATTATTTTACTTTTTAATATTATTTATCTTGTCAAATGCATAAAATAAGCATTTATTTGTTAAATTTTGGCATTCTATATATCAATAAAATAAAAATAGTCTCATTATTTTTGACTTTTAGTACTTTGTAAGAGAAATTTTTAATATCTAATTTTAATTTGGTATGTTACTATTATTCTTTGCATAATTTTATTTGAAGAAAACCAAAAACATAAATAATTTATAAACACATATATTTTTTAGAAAAAAAAAGATTAAAATATGAATTGATAATAGATTCTTATGATATATATATATATATATATATATATAATAATAAATTCAAATAAATAGAATTAGATATGAAAAATATATAATATGTAATATACAATTACTTATTTTTAATAAACTCATCTAACATACATAATTAATAATATAAACATGTATGTTTATAATATTATCCTTTTTTTTAGAAATAAGTTCTATAAGAAATGGTAATCACATATTAAAAAAAATAAAAGATACAACACATTGTATTTGTCACATACTTTGATCTTTGTTCCCTTTGAAGGTAATTGATAGGTCCTTTGAATTTTTAATAGTGCCTCATATTAGAACAAGAAGACCACTTAATTATTTGGTATTTGTTGAAATTTTTGTAATTTCTTTCAAATAAAACATTTGGAATACCATTTGAGTGGTTCTTATCTCTAATAATATTATAAAACATTGAAAGTGGCTTCTAAGGTTGTAACACTAAATGCGTTGTATTGGTCTTTGAATACCAATTATATCTTTTCTTCTTTATCTTTTAGTAAGTAATCCTATTACATCTTCTAATTACTATTATTTCATTATCAATCCTTCATCTTCTTCTTTATTCTTTAGTAAAATTTCTAACTTCTCTTGCAACTCTCTATGAATTGCTTAATAAAAAAACCTCCACTCTACTTGATTCTAATATTTTCTTTTCCTTCTTTGATAAATTAGAATATTATCTTTTAAACTTTTTTTACTAATTTTGTAGCTAGGAGATCTTTTTTAGGCATTTCAATCCATTCAAATAATAACTTATTTGTGACTTGATCAATATCTTCTAAAATATACTCAAACTTTAATGCTAAGCACAAATTTCTCTATAAACCTCAAAAATATCTTATAATAGACTTGACATACTTCCTTATTTATAGATTATTAGTAAGTTTAAATAAATAAAATATATCATTTTAAAAAATATACTTTAACTCTATTTTTATAACATAATACCATAAGTATTTTATAATATTTTTTTATTCAAATTAATCAATCTCGTTAGCCACTCTTTATAAGACTTATTTGCCAAATCTCTTTTGCAAGCCTTACTCTATTGCTAATGTATAAATATTTCAATTTTTTAAAACATTCTTATTGAATTAAGATTAAAATACATACTTTGATTTTAAATAATACTTCTATTTAAAGTTCCACTTGTAACTCTAAACACAACTCTAATTGAAGCTCTATCCATAGCTCTACCTTGAAATCTTCTCTTCCTTCTCTATAAATTAAATAAACTGACAAAAAAGAAAAAAATATCTTTAACTTTAAATGTGTACATCATCTTTATTATAAATCTTTAGTATTGTAAATATCAACTAGTAAAAGAACTAAGATCTCTTTAAGAAAAATTTAAATCTTAATTTAAAATTAATATTTTATCTAAAATTAAACATAAAGTATATAAGAATCTAATCTTGGCAATCTATAGCAACTTAAATAATCATCCAATTATATTATTTTTTTTTATTTATTCATAAAAAAATCCTCTGAGAATCAAATCACATTCTAATCATTTCCAAAATAATACTAAAGAATCTATAATAATATTAAATAAATTCTAAAAATATCCTAATCATTTTTAACAAATATTGAAAAAACAACCTAGAAACTATATTGAAGGCACTGAAAAAGGACAATCTAACACAATCGTCCTTCTATTCTATGCTCAAAGTATTGAAGTTCTTGATGATGGAGCCTAACTCAGTCGTCCTTCTATTCTATGCTGGAAGTACTGAAGTTCTTGATGATGGAGCTTAATGGACAACAAACTCATTGCATTGTATGCAATGTCTTTTAATAACGACCTCAAATGCATTCCAAAGACTAGCTATATGAAGATACTTGGAGCGCAATTGAACAACTCAACATTTTATTTTATATTATCTTTACATATTTTTTTGTTTTCATTTACTTATTTATTTTAAATATGAATATACCTATAATTAACTTTGAATGTTTGTATTTTATTTTTAATTTTTTTTGTTATTTTAAGTTCATTTTTTTTTTGTTCTTTTCATTTCATATTTCAAATAAATTTGATTGATGTTTTTGGTAGTGCTTTGGTTTATTGATAAAAAGTATTGCATAAAAATTACTAGTATTTTTTGAGATTATAGGTTTGTATAAGACATATATACCTTCTTTAGAACAAGATATGTTGTCCTACTTATTTTGTTAGTGTTGTTGTTTTTAAGCTATATTTCTTCAAAGTATTGAATTTTCTTTTAGATCTTTTTTTTGAACTTTGATTATATGATTTGTGTAACTTATGTTTGATCAATCTCCAGCATTTTGTGCAATCATACCTTGTGGCATTCTACAAATTGGAACTAAGCAGCAAGTTCTACTTTTATATCTAATTTGATTTCTTGATTAAATACCATATTATATCATTAGGTTCAAATAATCTAAAAGCTTATAATTACAATTATGAGGCATAATATCTACAAATCCTTCATGATTGAAATATCAATCCGACTAACTCAATGTTGAAATATCAAAGCATGTTATGGTTTGTGGCTTGGTCTTTGTTGAATTAGGCTATATAAAAGACTTGCAATCAATCCCTATGCCTTCTATGCAATTTGTATACTTCTAAAACCAAATGAAGAATGTTTCTTTGATTTCATGAGCACATAGATTATAATTATTATAAATTTTATTATTAATAATTATGAACTTACAAAAAATATCTTATGTCATTAGAGCAATATAAATAATTTTTTTATATATATAAGTAATCTTATCCTACAAAGCTTTCAAATTTTTAAATGAATGGATATATAATCCATATCTCTACTTAGCAGTTTAAACTATAAGAGGACTCTTTTATTGCTTTAATAAATATTTTTATATATTTTAAGATAAGAAGTTTGTTAGACATCTTTATAAAAGAAGGTTAATATGCTCTATTATCTATAAATAATTGATTTAAGCATCTACCAAACTAATATTAACTATATTAATAATAATTATAGTAATTTTTAATTAATTGATTTTGGACTACTTTTGATTGTATAATGAATAAAAAATATATATATACATATATGTATATACATATATATATATGTATATATATATATATATATATGTATATATATATATATATGTATATATGTATATATGTATATATATATATATATGTATATATGTATATATATATATGTATATATGTATATATATATATATATATATATATATACGATTCTTAGATAAAATTTATAACAGCAAAAATTCTTCAAGAAATATAGTACATATAGAAAAATAATATCACAGATAAAGAACATCATTTTAAAGAATGCTTTATTATTCTTGAAGATAAATATTATTTATGCAAGCTTCACAAATCTAAAAGTACAACAAGTTACACAAGTTGGATACAAAAAATAACAAAGCAATTA